CTCTAGATCTATTGGCATGGGCAACTCTCTAAAAGCTGAGGTAATGGCATTGCTACAAGGATTGAAGATAGCCAAGCAACTATGAATGGGGCATATTGAGGTTGAAAGGGATTCCAAGGTGATCATCTCTTGGGCTAACAACAATAAAACTACTTCGTGGACTTTCAAACAAGTGAAAGGGAAGTGGAAAAGGTTGCAAGGGAGGTAGAGGCAGAATTCAAATGGGTTAGCTGATTATCTTGCTAAACAAGGGGCTTTGAGGCAACAATTGTTTTGGTCTGCATTGTAAAAGGGACAGAAATATGTAATAGTGTGGGACTTCTAGTCCCATACACAAAGTTGTAAAACTTCTTAAATCTAATTTCAAATAAAAGTCTCCTTTGATGATAAAAAAAAACTTCTTGTTTCTAATGTTATCCACCAGCCTAATTTTGCATTTAATCCTTCGTTAGTTTCATCAATTAATACTGTGCCATCAGCAGACATCAAGCACCATGAAACCTCCTCTCGGATATGTTTAGCCAATTCAAATCTATCATAAAAAATATGTTTAGTCAATTCATCTATGACTAGTGTGAATAAGGGCTAAATGAAGCACCTTGGTGAAGACCCGTAACCTGTTGTAATTCTAAAATCTGTTGTATCTCCCGCAGGTGTTCTAACATTGGTTTTTGCACCCTCATAAGGTACTAACAAAATATGTTGGCAATACTTGTGAGAGAAACCTGAATTTTCGTAAAGTCGGAAAGGTTTTCTTAAAAGATTCTCAAAGTTGTGAAAGCGGGTGTGCAGTTGTTGGAATGGAGGGGGGAGCAAACTGTGGTTTTGTATGACTTAGTGAACTTATTTGAGACAGAGGAGGAGTGCACAGAAACAATTGGGGAGCAATTTGTTAGTTTTTTTTTTTTTTGGATCAATAACATAGTTCATTAATTATCACAATGGGAATTACAAAGAGGAAGACAAACTTTCTTATCTTCCAACTTCATCTTGAGCCCCAAGAATTGAAAAAGAGAGAAAGAGAAAAGGAAAAAAGGAGAAAACAGAATTAAATTACAACTGTGCCCATAACATTGACTCCTTGTCCACTCTTTGTTTAGCCAACCCATCAGCAAAAGAATTAGTTGATCTTTTTACCCAACTGATTTTAACTTCCATTTCTCGAACCAGCCATCTGAATTTCCTTCTCATATTGCTATATCTCTATAAACCACTATCGTCTTTATTCAGCCACCCTACCACCACCTCCGAGTCCCCTTCTATTATCAGTTTTCTGAGGTTCATCTCCTTAGCTTTCTGGACTCCTTCCACGACTGCTTGGATCTCAGCTCTAAGGGAGTCACCCACTCCAATTGGGCTTGAGAACATGGCAGAAACAATCCCATTCTCGTCCCTAAAAACACCCCCAATCCCTGATTGTTCAGGGTTCTCTTTGCTACTTCCATAAAAGTTTAGTTTTATGAAGCTCGCCAGTGGGGGAGTCCAAGACACACTCATTACTGCTTTAGTCTGGGTACAACTTGCAATCTCGCCCCACTTCCTTAGCATGCCATCCACTGTAAAGTCTGTGAATAGCTCTAGGGATTTCATCCACTGTACAACCCTTATATGGATCAGGGCCCTCAGATCTTCAGCACTTCTCTCTTTTTCAGAGAAAATCCTGGAGTTTCTTTCTTCCCATAAAGACCACCAGAGTGCTGCCCTCAGTCCTCTCCACATAGTCCTCCCCGTTTTTATACGGCACTTGAAAAAAGAAGCAAAAAGACTTTGCATATTTGATGGAGGATTCCAAGTACACCCAAACAAAGAGAAAGCCCACTCCCAAATAGATTTTGCAAATTGGCAAGACACCAGTAGATGGAAACTAGTCTCCCCAGTGTTGATTCTTTCTAGAAATGCTTCCCAGCAAAAACTACCAAGAGATGGTGAACCTTTGGAAGAATTCAACGAAACAACTGGTTTAGTTAAAAGAGACATCCAAAGATGTTGGCAGTGAGGTTTTGGTGAGGAAAGATATCTCTAATGAGAAGGATTTTGGTAAAGATATGAATGAGGAGGTGGTTGGCTTTGAGGAAAGGTCTGAGGAAATTGTTATAGAAGTTGTAGTTGGGAGATTGGGAAAAGATTTGGTTGGGAAGAAGACAGAAGTAGAAAGGAAAGGCTTGGTAAGAGAAGTTAGGACTGAGGTCAAAATTCCGTTGAACCCAAAAAAGTTGAAGGGTTCAAACTCTGGCCAGTTAATTCATTTTACTAAGATCTTTTCTTGATTGAAAGATGGTCTCTTTGGAGCAGATCCAAGTGGAAAATTCAAGAGGATGTATAAGAGAAAGAGGATGAAAACCAAGTTTAGAATGAATAGGGAGGAGGTTGAATTGGAACTTTGGCTTTAACAAGAACCTTAGAGGGTCTGAACTTTTTGTAGTGTTCGAGCCGTTAGGCTTGCTAGACTGAGTGTTCTTGGGAGAAGGTAGTTCAGATTCTAGGATTTGGGGTCCTAATTCTGACAGGTTGTTTTCTTGTAAATCCTTTCTACACTCGTTGGTTGCACCTCCTCCTCATCCTTTCCCAGTTGAAGAAATTAGGTGCTCTCCCATTCCCCCTAAAATCAGTGCTTTTTGTTGGGAAGTATTTCATGGTTGTATTAATACTTTTGATGTACTTCAAAGAAAATGACCAATTTGGTGTTTGTCCCCCAACTGGTGTGTCCTGTGTAAGATGAATGGTGAGACTGCTGTCCATCTTCTAATATCTTGTCCTTTGGTCAGTTTTACTTGGAATTTGTTTACCTTCCTTTTTGGGTGCATGTGGTCTTCTCCTGCCAATTTGGAAGGTTTATTCAGCCCTATTGGCATTAGTGGCAGTGTGGCACGAAAAGGAGGGGTAAGATCCTATGGAGATGTACTAGAGAAGCACTACTTTGGACTGTTTGGGAGGAAAGAAATGCAAGAATATGTGAAGGAAAGAAAAATGTAAGGAAGCCTTGGTTGAAACAATAACATTGAGGGTGGCACAGTGGGCAAAAAAGCTTGAAGATGTTTTTAGTTTTTAAGGTCGAAGACTTCTTTAGGGTTTGGGGACTTATTGCTGCCTCTTCATCTACAAGACAACATATTTTTGAGGCATGGTCTCCTCCAATAAATGGCTGGAAGAAGCTGAACTTTGATGGGAGTTGTGTGGGTAATCCAAGCCCCTCAGGCATTAGGGGGGCCATTAGAGATAGTAGTCGATCAAGACTACAATCAGTCTTGAATTCGAAAGAAAAAAAGGAGAAATTTCAGAAGAGAAGAAGAAGAGAGGGAGAAAAGAAGAAGCATACGAAGGGATTTAGAAAAGAGAGAGAGGGTTGATCTATTGATCTGCCGACCCACTCTTAATATTTATATATGTTGACTAATTGTAAAAGGGCTGAATTGCCCTTATTGCTTACATGGAAAATAAACTAATAATAAAGCTGAAATAGCAAGCTGTAACAACAAACTGAAATAACTACCAACTAACACTGACATAACTAACAAAAATATGCTATGCTGCCATACAAACACAGTGGGGACCACAGCAGTGGGGTTCTCTGCAGAGATGAAGATAGAAACATCATTGCTCTGTACTCCGGTCCTGTGGAGCAAGGTGATGTGGCAAGGTCAGAGTTTCTGGCCGCAGCATATGGGGTTGAGAAGGCTAAAGAGTTGGGCATTAATAGATTGATCATCGAGGGAGACTCAAAAACTGTGATAAAATGGTTGCAGAAAGGGGAAGGGGTGACATGGCAGCTGAAGAATGAATTCCGAAGATTTAAATGGTTGTCAAGGGACATGACAATCCAGGTGGGATGGGTGAGGGGATCAGCCAACAGTTTGGCTGACAGCTTAGCAAAGCAGGGGGTTCAAAGAACACGTATGTTTTGGGCACATTTGTAATTCTGTCTTGGGTCAACTTCTAAAGTTGGTTTCTTTCACAACTTTTTGTTGTATCCATAATTTTTCTAATTAATGAAATCACTTCAGAGTTATTGGTAAAAAAAGGATCAAGAATGTTTGAAGAATGATACTATTTCTGAAGCTCACATTGAAGATGTTGTGATTAGAGAGGAGGTTATGACAGTGATTGTTGGTCAAGTTAGAAAAATAGAAAAAATGTGAACTTGGAAAAGATTGTGGGAACTGACGTCCATTTGAGCAAATTGTTGGCGTAGGGAGCAAGAGTGAGGAAAGTTCTAATACAGAGTTTTTGATTGGTAGAGGGCTATTGTTAGGGTTGTTTTTTGGGTGGTGTAGGGAGCAAGCTTTAGATCCTTCGAGGGGTTTGGTTTTCGATAGCAAGAGTGTTGATATCTATTCATGTCCAAGAGTGAGGAAACATGGAAAACATGGACTGATGGACCCGTGGAGGGGTTTGGTTTTTGATAGCAAGTTATTTTGTATTCAAAGGGGTTTGGAGGGCTTTGGTTCATTGGGTTGTAAGTTCACCTTATCCTTTGTTGTGGGTGATATCTTGTCACTTTTTACCTTCATTTGTTTCAATATTTTTTTATTTTTTGTTTATCACCAAGAAAGGTAGACAAAAAATAATAATTACTTTAATACAGTTGGATCTCTCTAAGAAGGTAGTTCTGTACAAATAGTCCCTGACTCCCTGTTTGCTCCAGAGAAAAATGGTTTTATGCTAATTATAATCTACATTAGTTAAAAAATATTCATAGGCAGCAAAACGTACCGAATGCCCTTCTTTATTTGTCTATAAGGACAAACATAAAATGGAACTTTGGCTCCCATATATTTTATTCGTAGTTCCTCCTACTGTTTGACTGTTTAGAGATCTTTAGAACATCTAACTATCAAAATCTGCTAAACTATCTAGAGCTTGGTGATACACATTCTATTAAGGTAAAACAATTTGATATTATTTTTTTTTTGCCACCCATAGTTCAGATAGTTGGTTACTGTTTTAATATAGTATGTTTCTGTTGAGTTCTGAGAATTCTCATCAGGTTTTGCTATTTACAGTTCAGGACATTGAACATGATCTCGATGCTCAGGCAGATGACTGGTACATAGCAATGGATGCATTGTGTGAGGTTAGTGCCTTGGCAATCTTATTTAAGATGAGGGTAGATTGTCTGGTTTAATCTGCAAGTTATAAATATAATTGTTTTCATCTTCTAATGTCGGGTAGGCTTTTCTGGTTCATACTATTATACTCTGATGCCTTTTCTTAAAGAAATGTTCTTGAGACTTGGAAAATTGTTTATATGTTATATGCAGGTTTTGCCATCATTGCAACCTATAATTGTTTATTTTCCAGATTCTTCTCAGTGGCTCTCAAGGGCAGTTCCCAAGTCTAAACGTAAAGAATTTATCCATAGAGTGGAGGAAATGTTTGACCAACTATCAGGACCTATTGTTTTGATTTGTGGGCAAAACAATGCTGAAACAGGGTCGAAGGAGAAAGAGAAATTTGTAAGATTCAAAATGTTTTCATGAGTAATGCATAAGTACCAAAATATGCTCCTTATTTTATGGATAACAACAATTTTTATCGAGGTAATAATAAATTAGGTTTATATACAATATGTTGCACATCCCATGTATATAGGCTGGCAACCTGCCACCTAATCCAAATATGTAGTTGCAAGTGAGCTCAAAATGGTGTATCCATGGTTAACCCTTGTTCGGCCAAGGTGTCAGCCAAATTGTTTGTCGATCATGATACCCAATTGAACAATAACTCCAGCTCCCTTGCTATCTGTCTTATCCCCCTCATAATGTGTCAGCTTCTTTTCCTGTTTCTTCTTTTCGTGGTACAACAGATAATAATTCAGCTCTTGTGGAGTCTCCTTGACCAATCAGTCCCAAGTAAATAGCTAGGATGTTGCCTTGCTTGTTTCTTATTACTCCCACTACACTTGATAGTCCTGAATTTCCAATGCTGCACCCTTCAAAATTTAGTTTTATATGGTCCTGAATTTCCAATGTCCCACGTGTGTGCACATGAATTTGTTCTGTTATTTTGTGGTGTTGGATGCCTGTTTTTAACACTTCTCCTTTATGATGGTTGGCAGACAATGATACTCCCTAACTTTGGTCGGCTTGGTAAACTGGTAATTCTTTCTGACCTCTAGAGTAATTCTGTATTGATGTCTTTTATCATGACTTTGAAATGGAAAAAAAAGGATATTTAATTAAAAGAGCATAAGCAGTATTGATATGCTTTAACTGTTCAATCCTGATTGAGGGGTTGTACTAATGGGGATAAGGGAGACAAGATATAATGATATTAAGATTTGGAACAACTCAAAAAAAAATTATTTTTAACTTCTTGGAAGGATGGACTAAAACAAAGCTTTGCTAATCATTTTTATTAATTGCTTATATATCCCAATACACTTGAATTGTGAAAGTTCTGGTCAACCTACAACTTATGAGACCAACAAATCCTTTATGGGATTTCTGTTTTTTTGAGTTTTTAAATTAGATTTGTAGTGGTTTTAGAACTTGTTTCCTTATTACAAATTGGTGTAAAACTTGTAATGTGCCAAAAAGCAAATCTTTAGAGATTGTTTAGGAGTTTTAGTGAGTTTTGATGTCAGTCAAACTATAGGCATTAGCTGGAGGGTCCATGTTGCTGCTTAAAAAAGGAACTGAGTTTTAGTCAGTTTTGGTGTCAGTCAAACTATAGGCATGATCTGTAGAGTGATTAACATTCCTTAATTAAGGAAATAAGTCCTTCAAAAAAATTAAGGAAATAAGTCTTTGTTGCTGCTTAGAAAAGGGCTGTGAGAATTGGAATACAACTTCGCCTTTGTTCTTTTTTGTTTATTTTTGATGCCAAATTTTCTTGATTTGCTGATTCTTTCGACTAGGTGTTATGTGCTGATTCCTAGGTTGTATTTCTTTTTTTTTTTTTGCATGTCTACCCTGCATTACCTGATCTAGTGTTATTGCTTGCTTTTTTATTGTTACAGTGCTTTATTTGTGCTGTCTAATTTAGGGAAAATCTTCGATACCAGAAAGACATGGTACCAGAAAAGCTTTGACTAATCAAAGCACCCCCTGTGAATTTTGATTAATACCACCTGATTGATCACCTCTTTTGTGATACAGCTGATTGGCTGTAAGCTTTTCCGATAGCATATCTTTCCGGTATCATAGTTGAAAGACCTGAATAATATAAAGGATTAGCAAAGTGCTGCTTATTAATGATTGTTCTTGCATTACACATGCCATCCAGTATAATGTTCATGTTATATTTGTTTACATGCCCATACATATTTGATTGAAATTATTTATCTGTTCTACTACTATTATTATGTGTTACATCTAATGCTTAATTAGAGAAATTGCTGTCATGCCTCATTACCAGCTGAATTATTTTAATTATTTGTCATCCGTGCAATTGTGCATGTTTTTAATGTCATGGTGTTTTGTTTTATGTTTTGACAAGTATATAATCAAATTTAATTTGACAGCCTCTCTCGTTGAAGCGACTTACAGAAGGATTGAAAGCTACAAAGAGATCACAAGATTATGAATTATATAAACTCTTCAGTAATGTTCTCTGTGTTCATCCACCAAAGGTTAATGTTCTACACTACCTTTATAAATCTATTCAGGGAATGCTATTACTTTTTGCACGTTTTCTTGTGTGTTATTTCCCCTATGGTAGAGCTAGTTAGCATGTTTGAGTGGCATCTAGTTTTATGCTGTTCAGTTATGAATGCATTAATATTTTTGGTTTATTTGGTTCTTTTTCCTTACCAAGGAAACTGAGACCAACTGAATGGATGTTACAATTATTTAAGCCAATGAACTTATTGCTTTAATTTTATTTCCAAGTAATGTGAGGGCATACACTTTTTTTGTCGGTGTAATTTTTGTTGGTTGTATTTTGGATTATTTTGGGATTCTTATGTCTTATTTTTGCAAGGTCATTTGTGCATTATTGGCTTGACTATAGGGAATTAGGAGATCATCTAACATTTACTGTTTTACAAGACAAGTTGTTCTTCATGAGTGGACATGTACCAACATATATGCTGATACACTATATTACTGATTTCCTTTCTTTTGATCAATAACTGTATCATGGATTTCCTTATTCATTTATATGATGTCAAAGCACTAGTTTATAAGCTAGTTTTAAGCAAAATTCTAAAATTTGTTGAAAATCAGATGTTTATATAACAGCAACCTAAGATACCTAGATGCATATAATAAAAGAATGGAAGAGTGACAGGAACAACAATTTCTTATTATATGGATTCTATGGATAATGAGTCCCATCCAAGAATGATGAGAGTATGGCATCCCATCCAATATATTAAGAATTGATGGTTTATTTAAGTTTTGTGCCTTTTTAGTGTTAGCACCACTTAGAATGTGGTAAAAACCAAGCATTGTAAGATTTGCTCCAGTATCTATAACTATATAAGGAATGACAAGATGGTCACTTTTTTGGTCAGATACCTTGATTCTGTTTTCAATCTTACCCACCATCTTTCTTTCATTTTCCAATTCTATAATATCATGGCTTATCTCAGTATGTAATTATCCTTGCAATATGGATAATTACTAAAAATGCCACCCTGATACACTGGAAAAATGTTTTCTAATTGGGTCAAGCAAGAGTCTTACATGACCTTACCTGTAAAGTGCCATGTAGAGGAATGTTGTGGTAGAATTATCCACATGTTCAATTAGCCTAACCTTGTATTGAACTTTGCTCACTTGATAATAGTCATCTATAATTTTTAATTAATGCTCAGTCCATGAAAAATTGACTAGCTTGAACACACGGCTAAGCCTTGTGGTCAAAACTTTTCCATGAATAAAGGTTAGGGGAGGAACAAGGGGACTTCGTTTGAGCTTCTCATCCATATCATCAAGGCTGGATATTGGGTTACATGCATTTCTTAACAATACAAATATAGAGGTGATTCTGAATGTAAATGTTAGAGGGTCCTTTACTCGGGCCCAATTAGGGTGGGAGATTCATTAAGGGCAGAAGTAATGGCCTTACTTCAAGGTTTGAAATTGGCAAAGCAATGGGGCATGCAGCAATTAGAAGTGGAAGGAGACTCCAAGCTGGTAATAGGGTGGATGCAAACTGGAAACCTGGGAATGTGGTCTCTTAGACAGCCTCTAAGAGAGATTATTAGCTTAGCAAGGGAGTTTGGGGTGCACTTTAATTGGGCAAGAAGGTCAGCAAATGGAATGACTGACACTTTAGCTAAGCAAGGAGTTACTAGGGAGGCTTTGTTTTGGGCCTGTTTGTAAGTTTTTGATTTTCTTTGTCCATCCTTTTTTGTGGGTGGTAAGCCTGTAATCTTTTTAATTATCTAATGAAAGTTACCGTTTCCTATAAAAAATGTAAATGTTAGAGGGTTGGATACTCCTCTAGCTTTGGTGAAAGTAAATGGAGTTTTCTGATGAAAAAGTAGGAAACAATCAAACAATAAGGCAAAAAGGAATTGAATGGATGTAGGGGGTGTTGAGAAAACACTAGTCCATCTGTAGGGACAAGAGGCAACTGATTCAAGTGCCAACATCAAGGTTTTACTTCTGGGAGCATGTTGGTTCTGACTGCCTACAGGGGTCTGTGTTTTTGTGTGTGGCTTGGTGAAGGGAGATTAATGCATGTGCTTGAGGTTTGCTCAAAGTTCTTGGTTGTCTCTTTTGTTGAGTGCTCTGTTTTTTTTTTTTTTTTTTTTTTTTTCTTCCAGAATAGGTAATCCCTCTTGATGGGCATGAGTTTTGGTGTTCTTGATGGGTGTCTTCTTGAGGGACATGAATAATTGTAAGGAAGTATTAGCTCTTTGGGCTGTGCTTGTTAAATGTATCCTTTTTTTGCTAGTTTTGGGGAGCCTTTCTGTTATTAAAGACGTCTCAACAATGTTCTAGTATTCCACAAATTTTGGAAGCTTTCCTGAAATGGTTCGTATTTGTTTGGTTGACTGAAATTTTTACCAAATGCTGAATTCTAAGTTTAAACATTATTGCTATCGAAGGAAACAACAAAGGCCCCATTCGTTTACCGGTAAATAAGCTTGGGAAACTTGGTCAATGGGTATCTTTTTCCCATTGACCAATTTTACAATGTTCTTTTTGCATTTACTAATGGGCCCCATGGTAAAATAAGCTCCGCTTCCTCGGGTAAAACTTACCCTGTGGGTAAGCAACTTTCCCACTTGGGGGGAAATTTTATAAGACATAATGGAACAACTTGTCCCATTTTTAAATTAGCTTTTTATGGGTAAAAATGTCATTCTGTTACTTACCTGGGAATCCTGGAAACCAAAAGAACATGGGTAAGTTATAAAGATTCAAATGAATGAGGATAAAGATGAGCAGACATGATATGTTTGTGTTTCTTTTGCAAACTAGAGATGACAGCTAATTTCCACCTCTCATTCTTCTACTGTAACTTCGTTAATATGTGAGATATGCTTCTAAGTTGTTTATACATTAAATTTACTGTTCACATCTGTTTATACTTTTTAGGAAGAGGAACTCCTGAGAACATTCAATAAACAGATTGAAGAGGACAGGAGAATTGTGATCTCACGGAGTAATTTATATGAGTTACATCAGGTAAGGAGATGCTTCTTAGCATTCAGTTGATTGGCAAGTAAATGTTAATCTTTATATTCTACTTGTTACATAGATTTATGGATACCTTTTATCCCAAAATCTGTTTCTAGGTTTAACTTATGAACTTATCTTTTGGGTTTATTTCTTGACTAATTGTGAAATGCAGGTTCTAGAGGAGCATGAGCTATTGTGCATGGACCTTTTACATGTAAATACTGATGGTATTATCCTGACAAAGCAGAGTAAGAAACTAAGTGGCCGTCGCTTCTTCATGTTTTGGATTTATGTACTTCATCTTTTAAGTTTCTTGAACTTGATTGCTGACAAAACAATGGTGCTTTTTTGGAATAGTATGGGTTGGGACAAAGCTTAGATGATGATGTTGATAAAATATGGTAGATACACCTGATGGGGGAGAGGGGATCCAGTAGGAGACAAGGGAAAGCCAAATAAAATGCTTGGGACTCTCCAGAATGGTTTCCCAAAAATCCAATCCTAGTCCTTAATAACAAATAAAGGGCAAAATGGCTAAGTAAGGATATGAGGGGTAATTCTGACAAATGAACATAAGGATTCAGAGAATGGTTACAAATTGTTACTCTAATTATTATAAACTTTGATGTACTTCTCCATACCACAGAAAACAGGTCATATTGTTTGGAAGTGGATCTCCCAAACAACTTATCAAATAGATCCTCTGCTCGTTTCTAATATTCCAAGGAGAATGGTTCCATCTTGCAACGCTATAACTTTTTCTTCCAGTTCTCCTTGGATTTCTCTCCTCTATCTGAGGTCTACCACCTCCACAAACCAACAATTTGATACTACCATTTTATTTCTTCCTGCTTTGGAGCCCCACTATATTCTTCAACTTGCTGAGGTTATTATTGGAAAAAATCTGATGCTAGATGTGGAAAATCTCCTCATTGTCTTAGTTCTATAGCGAACTAAAGCAAGTTGGTGAACAGTGATTATCTTATTTATCTGTTAAGGCGTTAACCATATGAATCTCATCCTTGAAATTTAAGTGTTTTATTACTTTTATATGAATCATGTAAATCTGTATTCACCTTTGTCGTGTGTTATGCAGAAGCTGAGAAAGTCATTGGTTGGGCTAGAAATCACTACTTGTCAACCTGTATTCTTCCTTTAGTAAAGGGGGAAAGGTTAAATGTGCCCCGTGAAAGGTAATAACTCCCTTACTTTTAAACCATATACTACTCTTTTGTAGTATAATGTTGAAGTTGATCCCTGTTATGTTTCATGCAAAGCCTGGAAATTGCAATCTTGAGGTTAAAGGAGCAGGAGATGATATCCAAAAAGCCTTCACAAAGTTTGAAGGTTTGTATTTTAATTGGATCTTCATTACAAAACCTATAATTGATGAGAGAATGGTGTTTACTGTGCTTGCCAATAACATGTACAACTTAACGCAGGGCCTTGCAAAGGATGAGTATGAGAGCAATTTCATTTCAGCAGTGGTTCCTCCAGAGGAAATTGGGATCAAGTTTGATGATATAGGGGCTCTCGAGGATGTGAAGACAACACTAAATGAACTCGTCAGTCTCCCAATGAGGCGACCAGAGCTTTTCTCTCATGGAAACCTATTGCGGGTAAACTGTTTGCTGTCTTCTTTTCTTATCGTTTTGTGTATTTTCCTTGTAGATATTTTTAGCTACTTTTTTGTACATCTAGGAATGATTATTCTAGCTTAGTTACAATTCTGTCAAACTGGTTCCAGCCTTGCAAAGGGATATTATTGTTTGGCCCTCCAGGAACTGGGAAAACCCTTCTTGCCAAAGCACTTGCAACGGAGGCTGGAGCCAATTTTATAAGCATAACTGGTTCAACGCTTACATCAAAGGTACCTAAGAAAGTTTTGAATTCTCTGGTGATTTCAATTTAATGCTATTCTAGATGCATATTACCTATATCAATCCTGTTGCTGTTAATTGGTTATGACTTGTGAAAGAAATTTTCATATACATGTGTTGATGTTACATTTCTAGTTTTTTATTGGCACCATGAGTTGTCTTGAAAAAAAAGATCTTGATTGTTTTTGTTGTGCATAGGTATATATTAATTGTTGGTTTTTTTGTCAAGTAGTGGTTTGGAGATGCTGAGAAGCTTACGAAGGCTCTATTTTCCTTTGCTAGCCGCTTATCCCCTGTCATTATATTTGTTGACGAGGTGAGTAGTCTCTGTAATAATCTTAAGAAAATTTTTAATATCTAAATTGCATAGTTTACAACACTTGTTTAAGGAGATATGTGCCACAAAAAGGGGGAACTGGGGAAGCACCTTTGGCTGTGTTTGTTTTCAAGTGCAAAAATGGACCAGGTTTAAATTTTGCATCTGCTTCATGCTTTCTCTTGCTTTTTTTTTGCACCTCTAGGGGTTAAAATTTACACTGGGACCACATTATTTTCATCTCCATCAGGTGCAAAGTTTGCATCCGAAAAAGTAATGCAAAATTGTATTCTACTTCCATTTTACTTCCATCTTATTTCTCTCCAACAAAGAGAAACAAAGGAAATATGAACTAAAAGTAACCAGGATTTCACTTTACATCCTGCACATATTACCTCAGCAAAATGGTGGTGGCTGGTGGATTTTTTTCCTATTTGAGTCAAGAATCTTCAAAATGACAGGTTATCTGGTGAACTAAAAGATTCCACCAGAAATTATGCTTTATTTCTTTCTAGAAAATTTATTTTTTCTTTTCAATTTAAAACTAACAACTAGTGTTACAAAGAGCAGGGTCCAATATATGGTGTTATTGTTGATAAGGCCATGGACCTAACACTGTCCTGATTCATGTGAGTGCTTAACTATCAAATAATCCAGTTTTAGCATGCCATTCCTGGACATGGATAGAATAGAAGTGGTTTTCCAGCATAAATATATTTGGTGTCCCACCTAAACCTTTTGCTTAGATATTGTAGTTTATTTTTTTCAGATTTTTTCCTGATTAAGATTGCATAATAATTGTAGTCTCAACAATGTAATGCTCATGCCATGCTTGGCTACAATATTCTTCACTCGTTATATTCTAAAGGTAGGTTGTCTTCTCTGTCATTGAACCCATTTAGATTGATAGTTTGCTTGGTGCTCGTGGTGGAGCTTTTGAGCATGAAGCAACTAGAAGGATGCGAAATGAATTTATGGCAGCTTGGGATGGACTAAGGTCAAAAGACAGCCAAAGAATACTCATCCTTGGTGCCACAAATCGACCATTTGACCTTGACGATGCTGTTATCCGTCGCTTGCCAAGAAGGTAATTTTTTTACATTTTTCAAGTACACCCCTACAATATAAGACACACATGTATTACACAAAGCTGATAAGCATAGCAGTCAGACTCACAATTTGGTAGGTCTCATCTAAGTTGTAGATTGTATTGGTTATTTGGATTTACAGTATTTTCTGTTCCATTGGTATGTTGATAAGAAAGGCTATTGGGTTACCCAATGTGGGTCCCAGCTATCTGCAGTCTTGGGAGGGGGAGTGGATTGGATACAGACTTGACGTTTGGCGTTTCTTTTTTGCACAAAGTGGTTACTCTTAGAACTGAATCCATGTTCTCATGCTTGTCAGTTCGAGATTTTACAATTACACCAAACAATGGTCCCATCAATTGATATGTCTATACATGTTGGTGTCAAGCATGTGGCGATTTCACATGACAGAAATTGTTGGATTTTGAAAACCCTGAAAATTGGATTTAAGAATTTTGTTGATTGGGTGATAAATGAGTGGCTTCATTAGTCAATTAGTCTTGTGTTGGATTACATAATGGTTTTGTTCAGAATTATCCTACACAATGTTAGGATAGATAATCTATCAGAATTAATTTTTGTTGCATCAATGATGCACAGATTAAATTAAAGGGAATCAGAAGTATCTTTCTCAGTCACTCTTATCAGCCAAAACTTTGTTTAATTCTTTCTCTTTATTTGGCCCACACCAGGGGATGTACTTAACTTCATGAGTGTGATCATATGCTCAAAGCTAAAAGATTTCTGACAATATTTGGTTCTGATGTAGGATATATGTTGATCTACCAGATGCTCAGAACCGGATGAAGATTCTTAGAATATTTCTTGCCCAAGAGAACTTAGAGCCTGGTTTCAAGTTTGATGAACTTGCCAATGCAACTGAAGGATATTCAGGGAGTGATTTGAAGGTGACATGCCAATGCTAGTACCTTTCTTGTAGAGTCATGGTTTGCATTTTTTTTTGTTGTTTTTTTCTTCATTTGCTTGCATTTTGTTTACACCTTTTCTTCTACAGAATCTTTGTATTGCTGCAGCATATAGGCCTGTCCAAGAACTTCTTGAAGAAGAAAAAAAGGTAAGAGCCTTCGAATTTTTATGCTCAATATTAATGTCCTCAGTAAAAAATTTTCATCCAACCTATCTCATTCCACATCAGAGCCTGGTGCATAGTAAACATACAGATGTATTCTTAACTATAAACACAGAATACATTGTCTTGTTGGACTGGGAGATCCAGAATCCAAAATTTTGTTCTTGGTCATAGAAACAGTAAAGGAAAAAACATAAGTGAATGTTACTTGCCACCACCATTGGGTATTGGCTTAGGAAACCTTGTTGGTAAACAAGAAAAAGAAAGCTATGTTATAAGTGAACCATGGTTCAAAGTATCGATACACCTCTGTGTATCGGCAGAGGCGTATCGACACTTAGATACATGTGTAAATACTTTTGTTTTAGTTTTTTTTAAGGTGTATCGGACCCCCAAAGATACGATATGATACGCCCGATACGGGGTGTATTGTATCAAAATTTTGAACCTTGAAGTGAGCTTCTTGAGTAAACTTAGTTCTAGTAACACTTCTATTTGGGGGACACCTCCAAACATGTACCTCTAAGGGGTGTAAAATCACTGGTTCCTCCTCTCATATCAGATCAGCACTTTTGACTCAGAAGTCAGAAACAGCCTCTAGGGGATGGTTGGATCTGCTTCCTCCTTAAATCAACTTCTAGGCTTTACATCAAACATTACCAACTCAGTGTTTTCATTCCCTATGTTGGCTGCCATAGAGAAGTTCCAGAAACAAATTCAGATGGCAGTTGAAGCCAAGGATGAAAATACACAATGATCTGATGAAAGGCCTTGTATATCTACTAATGGTGCTCTCAATTATCAAGAAAAAATAAACTACTAATTGGTGCCCTCAACTTTTTAGATGTGGTTTTGCAAAGAAATCTTGGCAATTAACTTCTTTTAGATCTATCTTACCCGGATGTGTCTGCATAAGAAATTTACACCAAGAAATGAAGTATTTGACACGATATGGATGCATTGTACTGGTATCTGGGTATCATAGCTTCAGATGTGCTACTATGGAACCACCATGGCATTCGACACAGTCATTAGCTTTGATCTTTACTACTAACATTTTGATTGTACAAGCATTTTAACATTTGTTTGCTTTTCTCTGCAGGGAGGCATAAATAACATAACTCCAACTCTTAGACCACTGATTTTGGATGACTTCATTCATGCAAAAGCAAAGGTACATAAATTTCTTATTTTCCCTTCTATGCTCTGATGTTCTTAAATAATGAACCTTAGGAGATGTATATGTAGTATGCGTTTATTATATCTAGAGAAGTAGTTGTCCTTCCACCTCATTTGTTTAATTAGATAATAAATTATTTTTGTATTTAATGAAATTGGTAATGTGTGTTTAAATGTTTTCTTATTTGGTTGAGTGTTTTGAGTTAAGTTGGATGAATAGAAATATGTCAAGAGAAATTTCAGTAGGTATGATTAAGGTTAGCCTGATTTACAGTATGAGATATTGGCATGTATTTTGGCCTTAGGGGATAGGAGGTGGATTAAGTATATGACTCTCTCTCTGTAGGTCCCAAATACCTCAATAAAAAGTGGCTAACAAAACACTTGGAAGCAAGAAAGTCCTCTGATACTCTATATTTGTGTGAAAAAGAGTACAATGGGGTCAACAATACACTTTACTGTGCGAAACAGAGTACCAGAAGTTGCAATGCTCTGTTTTGCACTGCTCAACCTGAATACTGTTTTTTGCTTGTTCCAAAGCAACTCAAATCTTAACAGATCATGAAATAATAGTAACAAAAAACACATACAACCAAAAAAATATCATTACAAGGAACAAACACAAAATACCGATTTTTTATTTTTTATTTTTTAATGTGGAAAACCTCTCCAACGTGAAGAGGAAGAACCACAAGGCACTAATTCTTAAATCTCCATTATGACAAGATAATAGGAATACAAATCTCCTCTCTAGCTGCAGCTAATGGATATATCAAACATCAAGAGAAACCCTCTTGGTTCTACAATAAAAGAGAACCAAGAGGTTTTTTGTAGTAGAGAGTTTTTGTTCAATTTTTGTTTCTCTTGGGTAATTGGATTGACAATATTTTGATGGGATTTATTTTCCTCTGTTTCTCTTTGAATGTGTGTCTGTGCTAGTTTTGGTTTGGGATTTTTGTTCTTTTTTGTTTCTTTCAGGTAGTTGGATTGGCAATATTTGATGGGATTTGTTTTCCTTTGTTTCTCTTTGAATGTTGTGGGCATATGTGTGGGTGCGAGTCCAAATTTTTTCTTCTTCCCTTGGGTGACTTGGTTACCTTGTAATTTTCTTTCTTTAATAAATTTTATTTTCTTACAAAGGAAACTCTTCACCAAAATGGTGGTTAACAATCAACAAAATGAACCTCTCACCTCAAAGATGAATAACCACTATTGGAAAATGGAAATAACATTTTGGAGATGATTAACAACAACAAACCTTGCTGTGGATGCAACTTTGGCTCAGGTTCGGCTTTTGTTGAAATTTCAATTGGCCCTGCCCAAAGCAGTGTAAAATGCTTACTCCGACCAACCCAAGTTGTACCCCTTTCATAGCAGCTTTCCTTCTCAAACAATGAACAAAAACCTCCAAGAAAAAACCCTGCCTTCTCAAGAACCCCAAAAGTCTCCAACGAGATAATAGGGATGGGAGAGTAAAAACTCCTTTTCTTTTCATTCATTGTCCATTTGTCTGTACTTAACTAGGTGTGGGCCCCACCTCATAAGGAGGGAATCCCACAACCCTGTTAAATTCCTGATCCAAAATTTAGGTTGATTTCAAAATTCCAGGATTTCTTACATTAGCAAGCAGTAATTTCTCTGGAGACTCGATCAACAGTCCAAGAATACTCCTTCAGCAGTTCAGCCATGTCTTTTCTATGTCTTTATTCCTTTTTCTTTCTGAAAGATAGAATTTGGGAATTTTCCATTGCAAGTTTAAAGATTATTGCCCCACTAGACCAAAGAGATGTGCACAAAGTTCAAAGTAACAAAATATTGGAGTAATGCTTCTGATCTTGACCATCTGTTATTATGAGCATTTCCCACCTTCTACCAGAAGTTTAGTAGTTTTATATGTTAGAAGAGAAAACTAGGTGGTTTAAGCCATTAGAAGGTTTGGTTACATATGGTGATGAAAAAGAAAATAAATCATTTATATGGTATAAAAAGATGGTTAGTAGTTTAATGTATGACATTAACTGATTTTGCATCCTACAACTGATTGAAGCTCTATTTTCTGTGGGTTCTACTATGGTGTCAAGATTTATAAAGGTAACCTCAACCTCTCACTTTGTGGGAGCTGTCATTAAATAAGAAACATGCCAATTCTCACGGGGGGCATAGTTGTTTTCATCTCACGAAAAAACTTTTTTGCACACTAGCTAATCTTTTTTTGTACAATAATCTTATAATTTATGAACTTATGAAAAAAGTCCATTAACAAATGTTGGTCCCAGCTATCTGGGGTATCGGGAGTTGGGGTGCTCATAAAAAATCGAGCCAAGTCGATAAAATCGAACTGAAAAATCTGGTTAACCAAACCGGTCAGTTCGATGCTTTGGAAAAACCGAAGGTACTGGTTTGGTTTTGGTTAACCAATATAAAAAACCGACAGTTAATCAAACTGGCTGGTATATATATTCTATATATTTTTCATAAATATTATATTATATGGTATTTATAATATAATATTACATATATTTATATTATATAAATTCAAAAAACTGAAGAGCCAAACCAGTCAACTGGTTGGTTTCGGTTTGGTTTTGGTTTATAAAAATAGCCCACGGTTCAGTTAACCGAACTGTGAAAATCCCTTTTTTTTATCAATAACTGTGGATTGAATTAATATTAAAAATATGAGAAAATTACAGGGCAAGGGGGCTAAAAACATCTTAGCTCCCAAGAACAACCATTAAGCATCAAAAGAACAAAATTCAAGACAGCCCAAAAAATAGAATGTCTATTCACCTCTTGTCTAGCTAGACCATCTGCCAAAGAGTTCGCACTTATTTTTACCCATTTGTATTGGATTTCCATGTCCTTAGTCAACCACTTGAATTTCCTCTTTTCGTTACTGTAATTCCAAAGTCTAAGACTATCCTCTTTTAGCCAGTTTACCACCACTTCAGAATCTCTTCTATGATCAACTTGTTAATATGCACATCTTTGATTCTTTGTATCCCTTCAAGAGCTGCAAGAATCTCAGCTTTCAAAGAATCTCCCACCCCAACTGGTCCAGAATACATAGCTAACAGCTTCCCTTGTTCATCTCTTATTACTCCTCCTTGTTCCGGATGGCCCTGGATTGCCCAAGCTGCTGCCATCAAAGTTCAGTTTAACAAAGTCATGGGGTGGGGGGATCCAACAAACATTTGAGGCCTTCTTCATTAGAACAAGTTCTGCTATCTCCTTCCACTTTCTTTGCAGCTCATCAATTGAGAATTCTACGAACAGAGCCAAGGTTTTCAGCCAGTGTATAACCCTAATGTGGATGACCTCCAGCATTGCTTCCAAACTTCTCTCCTTATCTGTAWATATTCRYGAATTTCTYTYCTCCCAAATAGTCCAACAGACTGCAGCCCTCATACACCTCCACATAAACTTGGTCCTTTTTGTTGGCCGAAATGGCATACATGTGAATAGGCTTTGCACATTCGAAGGGGGGGTCCACCTGCACCCAAACAAAGAAGTACACTCCCAAATGATGTTAGTGAACCGACAGGAGATTAGTAAGTGATATCCAGACTCACCATCAGCTTTACAGAGGACACACCAGTGAGGACAAAAACAACTATTGGGTCTTTTTCTTTGAAGTAAATCTGTTGTGTTAACTCTTTCCAGAAAGGCTTCCCAACAGAAACTCCCAACCTTACGAGGTATAGGATGACACCACACCTCTTTAAGAGGGAAAGGCAAGCCCGGAGAAGAAGAATATGTGAGAGCACTAAAGAAAGAGATACAAGTGAAAGAACCAGAGGGGGTGAGAGTCCAAATTCTACTATCTACCTTTGTTGGCTCTAGGAACACCCCTTCAAGAATGGATAACAGTGATGAGATACCATCAAGCTCTATGCCCCTGATATCTCTTTGCAGGCCCAAGTTCCAACCGACCCCAGAAATAGAATTAGAAGGAACAATGAATGAAGACGCCGGTTCATTATTAAAAGTGGAAAGGGCAAAAAGGCTTGGGAATTGGTCTTTTAGGGAGGAGTCCCCAATCCAAACATGTTCCCAAAAATTAATGAGATTGCCTGAGTGCAAGTCATACATGATCCATGGAGAGAACAAAGGTAGAATAGCTTGAATAGCTTTCCAAGGAGATGCTCTTGTACTCCTTGCTAGAATCCCAGAGTCCCATCCATTTGTTGCAACCCCATGAGTACTTTCCACTATCTTCACCCAAAGTTTGTCCTCCTCCAATGAGAACCTCCAAAGCCATTTCCCCAAAAGAGCTAAGTTCATATTCCTTAAATTCCTGATACCTAAACCTCCCTCCCTCTTACTCCTACAAACCATCTCCCACCACACCTTATGGTCCTTCTTCTCCTCCCCCGGCTCCCAAAGAAAGTCTCTCATTAGTTTTTCTAATCTACTAGCCACCTTTGTCGGAATCTTAAAGATTGACAAAAAGTAAACAGGAAGGTTAGCTAAAGTAGACCTGATTAGAGTGGTTCTCCCTCCAAGAGACAAATAGTTTTTCTTCCAAGTTGCTAATTTCTTTTCAAACCTCTCCACAATTGGAACCCAAAACTCACCTTTCTGAGGGTTATCTATCACCCAATGGCAAACCAAGGTATATAAGGGGCCAGTTTGCTATTGCACATTCTAAGATGTCCGCAGCCTCAGAGATCTCCCCCTCGCCCATATTTACCCCAACTATACAACTCTTCTCAAAATTCACCTTAAGTTTGACATTTGCTCAAAAAGTCGTGTAGTGAGCTTCAAGTTTCTAATCCTATTAGGGTCCCTTGCTTCACAAAAGAGTATGGTCTCATATGCAAATTGCAAATGTGTGAGTGTCACAAGCTCCCTCCCAACTCTCCAACCTCTGATTAAGCCCTTGGAATCTGCTCTATAAATTAGTCTCCCTAGAACTTCAGCTACCAAAGTAAATAAAAAGGAAGAGAGGGGGTCTCCTTGCCTAATCCCTCTCAAGGCTGGGAAGAAATTGACCACTGTCCCATTTACCACTATGGAGTAATGGCAGTTCCTGATACAACCCAAGACCCATCTGCACCAATTATCCCCAAAACAAAAATTGGTCATCACCTCCATCAAGAAAGACCAATCCACCAAATCATAAGCCTTTTCCAAATCTAGTTTACCAATCACCCCTTTTCTCTTGGATCTCTTAAACTCCTCCAAGCTCTCATTTGCTATCAGAATCTGATTTGTTATCCGTCTCCCTTTCACAAAGGCTCCTTGATTATTTGCTATAATTGTTGGGAGCACTTCCTTATTCTGATGGACAACACCTTGGTGATAATCTTATAAAGGTTGTTGACTATGCTGATCGACCTGAAATCCTTTGGGTGACATGCATTCCTCTTCTTAGGAACCAGTGCAATAAAAGTGGAGTTCAACCCTGGGTTGATCACCCCTCTAGAGTGGAATTCATCAAACATAGTCCATAGATCTTCCTTTAATATCTCCCAGCAATCTTGATAAAAAGCCTTCGTAAAACCATCTAGGCCTAGTGCCTTTGATCTATCCATAGAGAACACTGCCTCCCTTATCTCTTCCACTTCAAATTTCCTTTCCAACCAATCCCTATCCTCTATCTGCAAAGTTGGCCATT